GGTGACGACGGCACTTGAGAGCGAGGGGTATAATATAGCGTATAGCCTGGCCGGCAGATGATGAGGAGAGAGGGAGAAGAAGGGAGGTTTTCCTCGACGGGCCAGAGGGGGGCGCCATGGCAATTATGTACACAATGGCCAATGCCGCGATTTTCCTACCGAGTGAGCGAAGATCGGTTTGCAGCTTGTTAGGCCAATTCCGCTTGTGTACGAGCTCGAGGTACATACACGTACGAGCCCAGCCAGTCCAGAAATCAAGCGACCTCTGGCTGCTACATCCCAGGACCAACCCAGGACGGCACCCTTGGAATGGACCCTTGCATACTGGTCCCGCCATCTGCCACCCCATCCACACCCATCAAGTACTAAAAGTCCCCAAGCTGATGTAGCTCCAAGTCCCGATGACATGTAGGGGACCGGACCTCAGCCAGCACCACCAGCTCCTCTCCATCGCTGCTCCCGCATGCTAAGGTTCCGTACCGGGCGCCCTACCATTATTGCGCCGCCCCCCTCGTCCCCCACTCCGATATTGCCCGTCATCGGACGTCGCTGGGTTTCTGCGATGCTGTAGATGGCTGGCTGTCCCTGTATTGGGTGACGATCCTTGGGCTAGAGGGGCCATAGGACGTTGTGGCCAACGGCTTAGTGCAAGATCCTAGATGGCCCCCAAGCCGCGGCATTGGACGATGATTTCGTCAACAGGCGTTAGTCCTGCTGCTCTACGGCAAGCCACCTTGCCTGGCGAGAGAGCTGGTTTGATTGCGTTACGTAGCCCAAACCACCTCCCCGTCCGCCTCGTCGACGCAATGCGCGCAACGGCCAAGTGGAGGAGCATGTCGTTGGGGAGTGGATGAGGGACACGCAAGAAGTCGTTTTCGTGTTTTCCTCACGCTTGCTTGGACGAGGATGAACCATAAAAAAAATCTAGGATCAAAGACCAGGCCAGGCCAGACCAAGATCCCTCTTCCCGCGTGTGCCTCGGATATGCAGCCCTTCCAAGAAGGCAAATGGCAACCCACGCAGGGAGATGGCATGTCATTGCCAGAAGTCATCACCCATCTGAAATTGCCTAGTTTGAACGCCGGAGCTGCAAATCTGGGCTGGTCCTGGCTTCGTGCCGGTGGAGCGGAGCTCGTAGCTCTGCTTATAGCACAGCTCCAGCCGCAACGTTAGCTTGATCTGATAAGATGAACAGCGACGCCAGCATGGACCGACGGCAGAAGCAATTTGCCGTCTAGGCCACAAAAAAACCCACGAGCTAGTTTCTGCCGGCTCTTGACGAGCGATGAGAAGTGGCGAGAAGCGAGACAGCCCGTGGGCCCCATCATCGGCGGCGGCCCTTGTCCCATGGCCCCCCCATCCCATCCATTGATGGCTCGCCGCCCATTTGCCCAAGGTCCCCAAGGCCTTGGCACGTAGCCGATGCATCTGGCTGTCTCGGGCAGGTAGAACTAGACTACTTGACTGCTGCTAACAAAACCTGATGCAATGGCCTGCTCGCGCATCCCCACCGATGACTTGTCCCCTCCTGGGTCCGTGAAGAAGTTTTCGTCTTCCAAGCCCGCTAGTCCAGGGGCCAGCAACGGGCCTATTCTTCGAGAGGATAGTCGACGACGTCCGGCGAAAGAGAGCCGCGGCGATGGGGACCGGCTGGGGCGAGGGCTGGAGCTGGCGGCGGGCTGATTGGCTGCCCGGAACTGGATGAGGGAATTATCTGATGATCTGATAAAAAAAAAACGGATCAGATAAGATTCGAGGCGCCTGTGCGTCACAGAAGAAAAGCAGGGGACGCTTCGGCTCTTGCTTCCCTGCACACTGACGCTGGGGCCCTGCCTTGCGGGATCCATTGGCAGACATACGGACCTAACTCGTTGAAGCAGAGAAGCAGGGTGTCAATCGAGGCCAGCGGGGGGAGTTAAAAATTTTTCCCATCAGATGTGGTTTTTTTTATATTGCGTCTTGAAACCAGCCATGCCATACTGATGACGGAGGGGATTAGCAGTACCTCCGGCCAGCGCTACCTCGATCCATAGCTGGTCCCCCTGTTTTACGATACTTGACCGGCTGCTCACCCATCCCCAGCCCCGGCTCGGTTCGCTGAACTGGCCTGACCTGATCTGATGCGTCCGGAGACCGAGAGGAGAAGACGGAGAAGAGAAGAAACGAGAGAGAAAGAGAGGCGGAGAGAAGAGCAAGCGGCGTGCTGCCGGCGGGTACCTCGCATGTACAGCATGTGCGCCATGTACAAGCAGGTACCTGCTCTCGGGACTTCTCCTCTTTTTCGCCCTGGACCCGACAGACTGAACAGCAGTCGGTCCACCCATCCACCAGCGCCAGTTTCTCTCCCCATTCCATTTCTCGCCGTTCCATCGCCGCCTACTATACTGCTTTGCGTGCTACTTACATATGCCTACATAAGCAAGTTCCCCTCCGGCTTGCCCAGACGAGACGACCAGCGACACCCGTCCCAGCACGAAATCCATCGACCCGCGAGCTGGTATTGGGCGGCGCGCTCTGGCTTTCTCCACTGCGAAAGCGCAACGCTCGAGGAAAACTCGCCTCATGGCTGCTGAGGGATGAGACACACTCTAACCATGGCGAGCAACAAAGGTGGCCCCCCGTCCTGCTCGTCTGCTGGCACGTTTCTTCCCTGGGCGGTGGCATCGCGGAATTGGCCGAACCCGACGAGCGGATCGAGCTGGAGCTGTCGTCGATGTCCGTACCATGTCTGTACGCGATCAGGAAGAGAAGGCCAAGCGAGACGATACGACCTGGCTCGACGGACCGGGGGAGGGCCAGGCCGGAGGTACCAAAGGGGAGGGAGATGCATATCCAAGCTCGGGCTTGGGGGACGAGGAGGGCAAGAAATCGCCCATTACCTCATGCCTGGCAGGTACCTTGGTGAATCCATGACCCTTTGAGCATCATCAACCACCAGCCGTCCTCGTGGCGGATACTAGGTTAGGTAGGTCGGTAGGAAGGCTCCAGGTCCTTAGTAATTTGGCTCGTAGATGTAGCTAGCAGGTTTGGGCAGCTGGATGCAGGCACAAGTGCGGCAGCGACGCCTTAGTGATGTGAGCACTGCTGCTCTAGCTGCAGTCCCCAGCTGGCTGCTCGCTAACTTTTGAAGGGAGCCCCGGAAGCCGCGCTCACCGTGGTTGAGGCCCCCACACTAAGCCTCCAACGTGCAGGGGGCCCACAGGGAGCAGACCACCTACGCCATACCTGGACATGCCTGGACATACCTGAGGCAGACAGCCCAGAGCAACTGCACCTTCTGAGCTTTACTGGCTGGTCCGCCACCGAGGTGCAACAGCGCGGACATTTAGAGGGCCCCGTCTCACTGGCGACTCTTTGAACCTTCCATGTGACTGGCGCTACTGGGGCTTATGTCGCTTCAGCCGGATCAGGAAGCTGAGCCCTCGTTCTCGCTGTCTAAGAGGCCCTCGAAACAGCCGCCACTGCGCATGCGGGGACCAAAAAAAGCAACAAACCTGTCTAGGGGCTGATCTGGTTGGGTGGCCTGCATAGGGCATGTCTGGCCGGCTTCCTGCTTGGTTGGCTGGTGCCCTGCCTCCGCGCTCCTGGCTGCCTGGTTGAGCTTCTCCATGTGCCCTGTGCAGCGAGACATACAGGCAGACCGATCGATGGCCAGAAACGAGCCTGGCTGCCGTCACTCTGGCTCCCCCTCATCATCTGAGACACGACGCCCGCACCATCGGGGCCCGTGGTTGATGTGTGTTCGAGAGTCACCCAACCCAACGCCCATTTTCACGCGGCGCCGGAGAGGGGAAAGTGGCTACGCTCGTCTGATGCGGCCTCGTCACGCCTCTAGTGAGCCGACGTAATGTACGATATTTACGTTTTGATTTTTTTGCGACCCTTCGCTGCTCCACCGCCGCAAACGCAGATGGGGACGAGACGGGTCATGGGTTACGGGTTGACATGGTCACTCTGCAGCGGTTCGTGGGCCAACCCGTGGCAAGCCCGGCCTGTTGCCTGCAGCGAATTCGCTAATAAATACCATGTTAATAGCTGAGGAGGCATATCGGCGCTCGCTGCTCTCCATGTCCATGCTGGGCCTTGACCTGAACATCACCAGGTTGAGCTAAAGCTTCCTAGGGCCAGACTAAACCTCAGACTTGTCGTCTTAGTCCTCACTATTTGGCCATTCTGCAGGTGGTGACGCAGGGCAGAAGAGGGCAGGCTTCTCCTACATCGGGAGACAACAACACCATAACCATCCATCCCGCGATAGCCTTGCATCCGCGCACGCCAAAGTCGCTCGCGTGTATCTTCGACAAGCGGCCTCGTACCTTGGGGGCGCGTCTGTACCTGCGGATACCCCTCCACGCCTCCTCATCTTGACCGACGCCTGGTTGGTGTCTGTAAGTGACGACAGAATTAGCTACATCACCCGATCCAGACCCAGCAGCCACGCCCATCGTCTCATGCAGGATACCAAGAAGGGACCCCATCGCGGCCCGTACATCTTCGTTGCATTGCCCTGCCCGTCCCCCCCGCAGCCACTCATCGGCCTCTAGATGACCAGGGCTGAGTAATTGCTGCACGCTGAGAGGCTGGAGCTTGTCTCGTGAGTGTGACAGCCGCATTCACCCTCCACCCAAGGGCCTGTCGCACGACCTTAAGCCGCATATCATATCACAGGTCCCTTGCCAGCGCACTTGTGTCTACGTATGACGATTTGAAATCCGAATTCACCTCATTCCCATTGGCTCCCGTCCACGAGCTCTGTTGACGAGGGCTTCGCTTAGCGTAGGTAGTGCTTCCAGGGATCCTTCGAAATTGTCCAAGTCAAGTTTAAGCCTGAGCGAATAATCATACTCGCCCTGTCTGTCTGTTTGTTCCCTGATCGTGGTCCCCTTTGGCTTGGTTCTCTCCCCTTTCCGTCGAGTACATACATCAATGGATTGGTCGGGAGATTGTCGACTCAGACTCATACAACGGTTTGGCAAGCTTCGTCCATTAGGGATATTGCCATGGACCTCGACAACCTCCAAGACAACTCCAACCTATCGGTCCTCAACCCTCGCCCTTCTCAGATACCCGGACCCAACCTCTTCCACCACCTAGTGCGTTCCCCCAGTGGCTCTACAGCTTTGGAACACCTCGAGAATGGCTCCCGAACCTCCTACACCTACGGGGACCTGCACCTCGCCTCAGACCGCGTCGCAGCCCAGATCACAGCCGCAACCTCCCCCAGCAGCTCCGGAGAGCAGCAGCAACTCGACCAGAACATCGTTCCAATTCTCATACACCAGTCGCCCTTACTCTATGCTGCTCTGCTCGGCACCCTCAAGTCGGGCGGCGCATTCTGCCCCCTGAACATTGATGCACCCCCAGAGAGGGTCAGCTTCATCTTGCAGGATGTCTCGGCCAAGGTCATCCTTGTGTCTGAGGAGCTGGTTTCCAAGGTTCCAGACGGTTGTTCTGCGATCGTGATAGTTGTCAGATGGGATGACAACAGCAACACCACCACTGGACACAACGAGCCCTTCCTGGGCCCAGCTCGGGTTCCCACCCCAGACGATTTAGCCTATGTCATGTACACCTCTGGCTCTACCGGAACCCCCAAGGGCGTGGGCATTCCTCACAGCTCTGCCACCCAGGCCTTGCTGGCCCATGACCGTCACATGCCGAGGTTTTCACGCTTCCTGCAGTTCGCCGCCCCGACCTTCGACGTCTCCGTCTTTGAAATATTCTTCCCTCTGTTCCGGGGTAACACCCTGGTCAGTGTCAACCGTGGGGAGCTTCTCAACGACCTCCCCGGAGTTATTCGGGAGATGGACATTGACGCCTGCGAGTTAACACCCAGTGTTGCTGGCAGCTTGCTCCGGTCACGAGATAAGGTCCCCTGTCTGAAACTCCTCCTCACTATTGGCGAGATGCTCAACGAGCCAGTGGTCAGAGAATTCGGAGGGAATGGGCCGGGGGAAAGCATGCTTTGGGCCATGTATGGTCCGACTGAGGCTACGATTCATTGGTTAGTAAAACGTGTTACCCTATTGGTGCGAATGCGACTCTGACGTGGAAACTGAATGCAGCACACTCGAACCGGCAATGGCTGCGGCTGCGACTGTCAATACCATCGGGGTGCCACTCGACACAGTCTCCTGTTATGTCATTCAGCCTGCAAGCGAGCACCACGGCCCTGGAGAGTGCTCCATTTTGCCGAGAGGTGAGATTGGAGAGCTCGCGGTGGGCGGGTTCCAGCTCGCTGTTGGCTACCTCAACCGCCCAGAGCAGACGGCCGCGTCCTTTATCAACACCCCCTACGGTCGGCTGTACCGCACTGGAGATAAGGCCCGGATCACCCAATCTGGGAAGCTAGAATGTTTTGGCAGGCTCTCGGATGGCCAGGTCAAGCTGCGTGGCCAGCGCCTCGAGCTTGGCGAGGTAGAGTCGGCTATCCTGCGAACGCCGGGGTGCCACGGAGCAGTGGCCATGGTCGAGAGCTCGATCCTCATCTGCTTCTGCGCCGTCGATGACGGGGTCACAGAGGATCAGCTCCTCGACTCGTGTAAGCGCTGGCTGCCGCAGTACATGGTGCCCGGCGAGCTGATCGTGATGGATGATTTCCCTCGGCTCCCCAGCGGCAAGGCAAACAAGAAGCAGCTCCTCCAGGACTTTATCAGTCAGAGAGAGGCACAACCTGCTGCGGAGTCACAGTTTGAGGGTGTGAGTGATGAGCTGGCAATCAGGGTGTCGGACATTGTGTCCAAGGTTTTGGGTAGGTCCGCCAAAGCGGCCGATTCTTTCAGCGCCGCGGGCCTCGACTCTCTCGCCGCCATCAGATTGGCCTCTTCTCTCCGTGAGGCTGGGTTTGAGGTGGCAACTGTCGACTTGCTCAAGTTGCGAACTGTGCCCCAGTTAGCATCGCTAATACGAAATACCTCTTCGAGCCCTGCTGTGTCTGTCCAACCCACTGCTTCCGCCTCCAGCCTTCTCGCCAGATGTGATGAAATCTGCTCCGAGAATCCAGCCCTGCAAGACGTAAGAGGGCTTATAGAAGACATCTGGCCCTGCATCCCCTTGCAAGCAGCCATGCTGGCCGAGTCGTCGCGGCACGACGGCACCTATTGGAACACGGTCGAGCTCGAGACCGATCCCCACGTCACTGTGGGACAGGTCCTATCTGCGTTCCGGCAGGTCGCCCAGAGTAATGAAATCATCCGCACCGGATTCGCCCCGTGGCGTGGAGGATTCGCATCGGTCCTTTTCATGGGCCTCCAGCCGGGCCAGGTGCGCATAGTCGATGAGTTTGAGCATGACTTGCCCCCGGAAATGTCGCAGCACTTTTTGCAGACCATCCATTGGCAGATCCAGAGGCGCCGCGGGCCCGGTCACGGGGTGCAGATGCTCGTGCATGTCCATCATGCCATTTACGACGGCTGGTCGTTAGATATGCTTCTTTCAGATATGACGGCCGTCCTAAAGGGGCTGGAGCCTCCCGCTCGCCCGCAGTTCCGAGACGTGGCGCCCTTCTACATGCACCCCCCCGTCGAGGGCATGAACAACGCCAGAAAGTTCTGGACCGACCACCTCCTCGGGTGGAATAAGGCGCCGTTCCCCAAGCTGATTGGGCAGCAGGGGGGGCCGAACGTTACACAGGTGTGCAGGGCCATGCTCGAGGCGCCTACTGCCGGCTCTGTTGAAAGCTCGGCACAAGAGCTCGGCTGCAGCGCACAGGTCCTTTTCCAAGCGGCCCTTGCGCTCATGTGGAATGGCATTACCGGAAGCTCCGATATCGTGCTGGGCACTGTGACGTCCGGCAGGGCGATCCCCGTGCCCGGGATTCACAGTGTCATGGGCCCTTGCGTCGCCTCCATGCCTCTCCGGGTAAATCTGGAGAGGATGACGGAAAATGCCCATCTGCTGAATCACATCCACTCGAGCAATCGGGCCGTGATGGAGCATTATTCCCTGCCGTTGGCTGAGGTGAAGAGGCTGAGCGGGCTGCAGCCGGGAGATACCATCTATGACGTCCTGTTTGCCTACCAGGAGTCGCCTGATAGCGGCCGAAGGAGGGATATGGCGATTAGAGAGTCGAAGCATCTAGACAGACTTGAGACAAAGTTCGTCCTCGAGGTTGAGCCTCGCGAGGAGGGCTTCGCTCTCCAGGCCACGTACCACTCCGACTCGTTTGACGAGCAGATGGTGGTTCGGATGCTCGACCAATTCAAGTTCATACTCCAACGTATTATCAAATACCCCCAAGGCTCTGTCACGTCTGCCAAGAATAGTATTCTTGATGGGCTGGCAACCTATAATAAGCCGCCTTCTGCTTATGAAGGCGTCCCAGACCTGGCCGCTATGTTTGAGGCGGTCGTTGGGAAGACGCCCAATGCCGAGGCCATCTGCTTCGCAAGATCAATTGACAGCGATTCGGTTGTTTCTGAAAAGGTGACATATCGCGAGCTCAATGAAATTAGTAATAAAATAGCTAATAGCATCCGAGATGCTGGCGCACAAACTGGAGAGGTCGTGGCCATTGTCATGGAGAAGTCGATTCGCCTCTATGCATCGATTCTTGCTATTGTTAAAGCAGGATGCGCATATCTTCCCCTTCTACCCTCAACCCCTGCTTCTAGAGTGCAGGAGATTTTCTCACAGGCAGACACTAGGCTCTGTCTTGTTGATGCTGATTCGGAGGTGTCGCTCGCGCTGGCCACGAGCGTGCGGACTCTGGTTGTTGGCGGTGACTCCTTTGAGGGGCTGTCAGTGCAGAATCTCAACATTCCTCCTGACGGTTCTCGTCTCTCTTATGTCATTTATACCTCTGGTACCACTGGGAAGCCTAAGGGTGTTGCGGTCACGCAATTGAACGCTGCAAGTAATATTGGCTATCTGGAGACGCTCTACCCCAAGAGCGCCTCTAGGCAGTCTCGTCTTCTTCAAGCCTGTTCTCAAGCTTTTGACGTGTCAGTTTTTGAGATATTCTACACGTGGCACGCTGGGATATGTCTTTGTTCCGGAACCAATGACACGCTGTTTGAAGATCTTGAGAACGCTATCAACCAGCTTGGCATCACACACCTCAGTCTCACACCTACTGTTGCATCACTTATAGATCCTAAAAAGACTCCTAATGTTGAATTTCTCGTCACTGCTGGCGAGGCAATGACCTCGTCTGTCAGAGATACCTGGGGCGAGCTTCTGTGGCAGGGCTATGGACCGTCTGAAACCACCAATATCTGTTCTGTCAAGCATATGAAGCGCGAGTACCATCCCGAGCATTTAGGATGGGTCTTTCCAAACACTTCTGTTTTTGTTCTGTCGCCTCAGTCTCTGGACACCCTGCCCATTGGATGGGTCGGAGAATTCTGCTTTGGGGGCGATCAAGTCGCCCAGGGTTACCTGAATCTGCCCGAGGTGACTGCTGCAAGCTTCATCGAGCACCCCAAGTATGGCCGCATCTACCGGTCGGGAGACATGGGGAGGATGCTCCCAGACGGGTCATTAATGATCCTTGGCAGAATGGATGGCCAACTGAAACTCCGCGGTCAGAGGATCGAAGCAGGCGAAGTTAATAGTGTGATCACTGCTACTGATCTGAGCTCTGCCGCTGTGACGCTGTTGGCTCGGCAGCGCGCGGACTTTCCCGAGCAGTTGGTTACTTTCTTCGTTCCTACGAAGACTCATAAAGATGAAGGGTCCATTCTGCCGACTGATGCTGAGACTACAAAGCTTCTGTTCTTGACGCTTCAGGCCCGGCTACCATCCTACATGGTGCCGTCGTATCTCATCCGGATCTCGGGCGTGCCCAAGACGGCCTCGGGGAAGATTGATACCCGGAAACTGCGAGATTGGTTTCAGGGACTTTCCGCGGATTATCTGTCGTCATCGGCTCAAGACCAAAGTGAGAGCATAGATGGAGAAGAGGCATCTCAATCTGAGCTGCTTCTCAAGCAGTCCATCTCAGAGTATCTCAGCGTCCCGGAGTCTACTGTAGGTCGCTGGACTCCCTTTGCGAACCTCGGGATAGATTCGATATCTGCCATCGGATTAGCTCGTGCTCTGAAAGTATCTGTTGGACGGTCGATTCCCGTTTCTGCCATTTTGAGGAATCCCAACCTCGTGTTATTGGGACGGCATCTTGATAGCGAATCAGCAAACACTAAGACTAGATCGTCACCCAAACCTGGTGATTTCTTCCAAAAGTCTTTCTTGTCAGATGTCACAAAGAGCTTCGAGTCTGAAGGCAAAAAGGTCGAAAGCATTCTTCCCTGCACGCCGCTCCAAGAGGCGATGCTTGCTGGTGGTCAGCAAAGTTATTACAACAAGGTGATGCTTCGCCTTCTGACCAAGCCAGAGGACATGCGACAATATTGGAACAATGTTGCCAAGAGAAACGGAATCTTACGGACCGCTTTTGTGGCTACTGACCAAGTCAAGAACCCCATAGCGCAAGTTGTTCTCCAGGATTGGGAGATTCCGTGGTTGGAATTCTCTGTGAACACGCCTTCCTTTGATCATGTGGTTGATGAACACCTGAAACAACTTCCGGAGCCTGTTGACTCTCAGATTCCTCCCATTTCTCTGGCTATTATCAATTATCGGGGAACCGCTTTCCTGTCGTTTATTTGTCATCACGCGCTCTATGACGGTGTGGCTATGGTGAATCTCTGGAGGGAAGTGGAGGCATTGGCAAACGGCGCTGTGCTGCCACCTCCAGTCCCCTATGAGCCGTTCTTGATGGAAGTCCTCAGCCCTCCAAGTGATACCGATAGCTTTTGGCTCTCGCAGCTTCGGGACTTCCAGTCAACAAGCCTGTTTAGGAGATCGAAGGGCAAGAAGGCTGTTCAGGCGGCAGCTAGTACGTCGCTGAATGTTCCGCTGAGAGGTATCCACGAGCATGTGCAGTCACTGGGAGTTTCGTTCCTGTCCCTCTGTGAGGCGGCTTGGGCCAACACTATTGCCATCGCAAGTAGTTCCACCGACGTTTGTTTCGGAAACGTCGTCAGTGGGCGAACAGTCGATATTGAGGGTATTGACAAGCTGATCGCGCCGTGCTTCAATACAATCCCCATCCGTAAGGACCTATCAGCCGAGCCACATGGAATCAACCTTGTCAAGGACTTTTACAAGCTAAACTCGGAGATTCTATCGTACCAATTCACACCTCTTCGCCAGATTCAGAAGACTACGGGTCGATCAGGCCGTGCGCTATTTGATACTCTGCTCATTGTCCAGCAGCCGCTCCATGCTATGGATGACAGCGTCTGGATACTCGAGGGCGATAACAGCGACATGGATATTCCTTTGGTGTGCGAGGTTGTCCCCTGCCCGAGCTTGAATACCGTTGTTGTCAACATACAGTATGACATGGACGCCGTCAGCGAAGCGATGGTTTGGGCCTTTGCTGGCATATTTAGGCTTCAGTTCGAGTCTATCCTCAAGTCTCCCTACGGGAAATTGTTGCAACGAAGTTCGGTGCCTCCGAAACTCATCGCGGGGCTTGAGGGCATCGTTGTTAGACGGGAGCGAATCGAAGCGGATAAGACCCGGGCCCAAGTTGTTGAAGAGTGGCCAGAGGTTGAAGCCCAGATCAGAAATGTCCTTGTAGAGCTGTCTGGGCAGCCTGCTTCAAGAGTCTCGCGGTTCACAAGTATCTTCCAGCTTGGCCTCGACAGCATCAATGCTGTGCAGGTTGCGTCGATGCTTCGCCGGCAAGGGTTGGACGTCTCGGCATCTGACGTGATTGAATGTACCACCTGTGCCAAGATCTCCGAGAGGGTACATGAGAACACAAGCAGGAAGACGTCGACGAAGTCGACGTACGACCTTGGAAAGTTTGGCTTTGGTGTTGCGTCGCAGCTTCAGGAGAAGCTGCCTGCTGACCGAGTTGTGGAGGCCACCCTGCCTTGTACGCCCATGCAGGAGGCGATGATCATGTCGTTTATTCGTTCCGATGGCAGCAATTATTTCAATTCATTGTCATATGAGTTTGAGAAGGGCATCTCTACGGCAGATGTTGTCAGGTCATGGGCTACTCTGACCAAGTGTCATCCGCTCCTGAGGACCGCCTTTTTGCCAGTGAATCATCAGGATTGCTCTTTTGCCATGGTTAGATATTCACCGGAGTCTAGCCCAGCGCCTCTGACGATCGTGGGTTCTAAAGTAGAGAACCTGGAGAGCAAAATGGCAGAATGCAGAGCGGCTGTCCTTTCTACGCCTAATCTCCCACCTTGGCATGTTTTCATCGAGGAAAAGGGCGAGTCTTTGTCGATGGTTGTCATGATTCACCATGCTATTTACGATGCGCAGTCATTAGACTCCATCCTTGCAGAGCTTGCAGTCCAACTCAAGAGTGATGTCGCCTTTTGCTCTTTCGCAGAGGTTGAGCCGAGCTTGGCCGAGATGATGATGGAGAGTACCTCGAACCAAACTGAGGCAGAGAAATTCTGGAAGTCAAAAGCAGACTCAGCCGTCGTGAACACATTCCCGATCATGACTCCCCTCAGGGAGCCTGCCAGCGATTTACAAGTCGAGAGCATGCAGTCATCAATGAGCTTTTCGGCTTTCCAAGCCGCCGCACAGAGTGTGGGTGTTTCAGTTCAAGCAGTCTTCCAAGCAGCATGGACGAGAATCCTCTCCTCGTACCTTGGAGAGAACTCGGTGACCTTTGGAGTCATCTTGTCGAGTCGATCAACTGAGACGACCAAGAATGCGCCAATGCCATGCTTGTCGACTGTGCCTGTTGTTGCCGCCAACCAGTCATCCAATGTCGAGCTTCTCAAGCAGATGATGGAGTTCAACTCTAAATGCCACAAATTCCAGTCTGTCCCGCTGAGCCAAGTACAGAAATGGTTGGGCCATCCTGCGTCGCCGGTATTCGATACCTTGCTCTCGTATCGCAAGGTGGAAGCACAGCGCCCGCGTCCATTCCGCCTGATTGAGGACAAGGCAAGTGTTGAGTATCCTGTTTCAATTGAAATTGAAGCTGTAGGGAATGGGGAGATGAATCTGTCAATCACCTACTTGCCCAATGTTGTGCCGCTGGAACAAGCCAAGATGATTCTCCGGCAGTTCGATGCTGGCATGTGCCATTTGATCATGGACACCAATAGCACGGATTTGGATCTCTACAGGGTTAATCCAGCCGTTTTCTCCGTTTCGCCCCCGCTGAAGCCGGAGATGCCTTCTCCGGTACAGTACATGCATGAGTTTGTGGAGATGAGAGCGCGTTCGCAGCCTGACGCCATCGCTCTCGAGTTTGTGTCTGCCATGGCCGATGACGGGACTCCACGGAAACAGCAATGGACGTATCGAGAGCTGGATGAGATGGGCAACAGAGTCGCAAATATGCTAGCCGAAGAAGCTACCGTTGGATCCATCATCGGAATCCACTTCGTGAAATGCCCAGAGGCTTACTTTGCCATTCTGGGCATCTTGAAGGCTGGCTGCTCGTTCGTAGCGCTCGATCCGACTGCTCCTAGCGCCCGAAAGGAGTTCATCATGTCCGACTCCCAGGCTCCTTGTGTACTTACAGGAGCGGCTGATTTGGATCTCGACCTGTCGACCAAGATGATTCCTCTGACAATAGAGGCTCTGAGTGCGTTCGCGCCCACCCCTCGCCAGCTGGGACCTGAGTTCTCGCCTTCGTCCACCTGCTACTGTCTATATACCTCAGGAACGACTGGCACGCCCAAGGGATGCGAGATTACCCATGAGAATGCCGTTCAGGCCATGATGGCGTTCCAGGAGTTGTTCCGGGGCCACTGGGATCAAGATTCTAGATGGCTGCAGTTTGCGGCACTCCATTTCGATGTGTCTGTCCTAGAACAGTACTGGAGTTGGTCAGTTGGAATCAGCGTCGTCAGTGCACCGAAAGATTTGATCCTGGACGACCTCACAGGGACGATCAATAAGCTGGGGATCACCCACATAGACTTGACGCCTAGCCTGGCGCGTCTGACACATCCTGATGAGGTTCCAAGTCTGTGCAGAGGTGTCTTCATCACTGGCGGAGAGTCACTCAAGCAGGAGATTCTTGATGTGTGGGGGCCCAAGGCTGTCATATATAATGCATATGGGCCTACGGAGGCTACCATTGGAGTTACCATGTACCAGCGAGTCCCGATAAATGGACGGCCAAGCAACATTGGAAAGCAATTCTCCAATGTGGGATCCTATGTCTTCCATCCCGGGACCGAAATTCCTGTCCTGCGAGGTGGTGTCGGCGAGTTGTGCGTCTCTGGCAAATTGGTCGGAAAGGGCTATCTCGGCCGAGCAGAGCTGACTCAGGAACGCTTCCCTATCCTGAAGGAGTATGGCGAGAGGATCTACCGCACGGGAGACCTGGTACGCATTCTGTGCGACGGGTGCTTTGACTTCCTGGGCCGGGCAGATGATCAGGTGAAGCTTCGCGGCCAGCGCCTTGAGATTGGCGAGATCAACCACGCTATTCGAAGCGTACCTGAGATCAGCGACGCTGCCACGATTGTGACTTCTCACGGAGCAGGCAATGACAAGAGCGTGTTGGTTTCGTTTGTTGTATCTTCCCAAGCCGGCTCTGTAAATACCGAGCTCAAGGTGCTGAACGATGTCGAGGAACTGAGCCTGAAGGCAAAAGAGGCGTGCCGTCAGCGTCTCCCAGGCTACATGGTCCCGACTTACTGCTTGGTGCTCCCGTATATCCCCCTGTCGGTCAACAACAAAGCCGAAGCAAAGGAGCTGAAGCGGATTTTCCGCGAGCTGTCACACGAGCAATTGATGGCCCACACGGCTTCACTGGCGGTGCCGCAGAGCGGTCTCGTCAGTGATCTTTGCCAGAGGATTATCAAAGCTTTGGGAGAATTTGGAAACGTTAACTCATCAGACTTGTCTGCCAATACCAGCGTCTTCGATGTGGGAGTCGACTCCATCACGGCGCTCCGTCTGTCGTCCATTCTCAAATCACAGGGCCTCAAGGGAGCGTCGACCACTGTCATCCTCAGAAATCCTGTCGTCGCGGACCTTGCCCGGGCTCTTTCATCTACCGCGACTCAGTCGCAGGAGAAGTACGTTCGCGAAGCAAAGCAGACTCTCTCGGCAAGTCGGCATCGGTATCGGGCAATCGCCTGCCGACAACTGGGAATCAGAGCTGATGAGATTGAGTACATTGCCCCGTGCTCGCCACTCCAGCAGGGAATCATCTCCAAGTCCATTACGAATGACACGGAAGGCGCATATTTCAATTCCTTCGAGCTGAAGATTCGTGGTGAAATCTCTCAGGAGAAGCTTCGTGCCGCGTGGGACAATCTGGTCGAAACAGAGGCTATTCTGCGGACAGTTTTCTTATCCACAACTGGTGGCCATGTCCAGGTTGCCCTCAAGAAGAAGGCGATATCCTGGATAAGTCAGGATATTCCGAGCGAGGCTGAAGTCAACGCATTCCTCGAGCGACAGAGACAGAACTGGATCAAGGAAAATTCTGAGCACATTGCCAGCCCTCTCAAGTTCATCTACTTGACCACTCCAACTGGGCGCAGCCTCTTTGTCAATATTTTCCACGGAATCTACGATGGAAACAGTTTGGGTTTGATGTTAGAGCACGTTGCTTCTCGGTGCTTGGATGTCCAGCCTACCAAGGGGCCATCATTCTTAGATGCCTTGATTCATGGGCCTCTTTGGAAATTTGACCACTGCCGCCAGTATTGGGTGGATTTCTTGAAGGGATGGACATCCCCTCGATCCTTGGCCTTGTCTGAACCTGCTTCTGGAGATGGAGTCGCCATCACGGCAACGAGATCAATGTCCTACGAAACTCTAGAACAAATCCGTAAGACAGAAAAGGTCACTTTGCAAGCTGTGATGTTGGCTCTCTGGACATCTGTTCTTCAACCATATTACTACGGAAACAGTATGACACTCGGAATGGTGGTGTCCGGTCGGTCTATCGACTTGCCGTCGGTTGATCAGGTTATTGGACCGCTATTCAATACTCTGCCATTTACAAATAAGACATTGCGGGGGGCTTCATGGTCATCACTCATCCAGCAATGCCACAAGTTTGGCGTAGACACCTTACCCTTCCAGCACGTACCGCTCCAAAAGATCCAGAAGTGGTGCTCCAAAGGCCGCCCGTTATTTGATACCTTGTTTACTCTTCAGCTTGAAGGAGGCGAGGTGGTGGAGGGTTCAGCTCCCTGGGAAATTGTGGATGGCCAGTCAACTCCGGATTACCCTCTGGCAATCGAGATAAACTGCTTGCAGAACGGCAAAATGAACATCACCCTGGTGGCGCAAGGTTCGGTGGCGAACACGGCAGGCCTCGAGTATATTCTCGATCAAATTGAGAAGAATATGTGTCTCTTGGCAAGTGATCCGAAGCAAGGTATTGTCACGGGCTTGGAGGAACGGAACTTGGCCCAAACGGAGGGTGTCTCAAACATTCCCAGCAATGAGGACGGCGAAGATTTGTCTGATTTTGCCTGGGATGACACTTCCATTGCCATCAAGGAAGAAGCTGCAATACTCGCTGGTACGGGCACTGCGGATGTCACAGAATCAACTACAATGATTGAGCTCGGCCTCGATAGCATTGATGTGATCAAGCTCTCTGCTAAGCTAAGCAAACGGGGTGTCAAGATCCCTGCATCCAGTATCCTCCGCTTGCAGAGCATCGCGAAGATCGCCACCGCACAGAAGGGAGAGGATGGCGGACCCGGAGACCTTGATACAGAGGGAGTTGGTATGGCTGCTATCAAGAATAAACTGTGGGACAACCTCAGGAGCAGCGGTCAGGAGGTTTCAGTCGACTTGGAACTAGTGGAGGATATCCTGCCTCCCACCGCTTTGCAAGAATCGATGGTGGCTGCCATGATCAGCTCGGGATTCGAATGGTATTTCAACCATGATTTAATGGAAATTCAAGATGGAGTTACGGTAGACCGACTACGGAGAACTTGGGCATTGGTTGCTCAGGCGTGTCCCATTTTGCGGACAGGATTTTACGAGCTACACGATTTTGAGCTAGACTTTTCTTACTGTCAGGTTGTGAGGCGTCAAACTGATGCGCATATGGAGGAGATGCCCCTAGATAGTTTGGAGGATGTTCATATGGTGATGGAGAAGGCGAGGAGCCGGGCGGAACAAGGCCGAGGCTTGGATCACCTCTTCCAACTGACCTTCATTACAGTGAAGGGTCGCAATTACCTTCTGCTTTCGATAGCGCATGCTTTATATGACGGGTGGTCGCTTGGTCTCATTTACCAATTGCTCCGCAAGGCCTACGACGGGGAGAGTCTGAGCGCTGTTTCTCCCGAGAATTTCATCTCGAAAGCAATGACGGCCCAGGGCAGAAAATCGAGCGAGTTTTGGGGCGACTACCTCCAAGACGCTACACCTACCCTTCTGGCCAACTCACCTGAGGAAGGAAAGGTTGTGCGTCGGGCATCTTCACAGTCGACTTCCAGCGTCACAGATATACAGAAATTCTGCCAGAAGTACTCTGTCAGCCTTCAAGTTCTTTGCCAGGCATGCTGGGCCGTGGTTCTGGCCCACGAAACCAAGCAGCTCGATGTTACATTTGGCATCGTCATGTCTGGTCGTGAGTTCGAGGGCGCAGAAGACCTCGTCTTCCCTACCATGAATACTGTTGCTGTCCGGTGTATTCTCCACGACTCGGCCGGCAGCTTTGTTCAGTACCTGGAGGAGAATATGGGAGACATCCGCAATTTCCAGGGATTCCCCCTTCGCAAGGCGCAGCAGGCGGCTGGAGGAGAAGGTCAGCTGTTCGACACGCTCTTCATGCTGCAGAAGTCGGTCGGCACGGGCTCCTCGGACGACCTCGTGAAATCTGTCGAGGGATCCTCTGCCATCGACTACCCTTTCTGCATCGAGGCAGAGCTTGTCGGTGATGCTCTCATCTGGCGTGCGGCTTATCAACCGCACGCGTTGTCAGACGAAATTGCGCTAAGCAAGATTGATGAGGTGAACCGTGTGATGAACTTCATCATATCGACTCCCGAGTCAGATCTTCTCTCTTTCGATGACGCCGGAACCTCCATGTGTGGCCTTCCTTCGATTCATATAGACCTCGAAGGCGGCACCCCTGAGGAAGAAGCCGGAGGCTCGGTTAAGGATGCTGAGGTTTGGGACGAGACCTCCAGCATTATTCGGTCCGTCTTGAGCGAGGCATCGGGAGTTGCTGTTGATCAAATTAGGCTCTCTAACAGCCTCTATCATCTCGGCCTCGATTCGATCATCGCCATCAAGGTTTCGGCCATGCTTCGACGACAGTCTGTTACCATCAGCGTTCGAGACCTCATTCGAGCTGTTGACATACGTCAAATGGCGGCCTCTGCTACTAAGCCACCTATCTCTCTGTCTGATAAACCTACCGAGCAGAACGAATGGCATCCTTCGTCCGAAATCGACGTTGATGGTCTGCTTTCTGAACACCAAATTGAAAAGTCAGACGTCGAGGCGCTGCTACCTGCCATTCCTATGCAGGTGTTCATGCTAAGCACCTGGCAAAATTCTCAGGGCCGGGTGTTTTATCCCGAGTTCTCATACTCGATGAAATCATCTTGCTCGTTGGAAGACATCCACATAGCTTGGAGGTCAGTGGTCGCTTCAACATCAATCTTACGCACCCGGTTCATCGCTACTCTATCTAAAGATGTACCTGTCTTGCAAGTCATCCTCCGTGCGACAGCAAATTCAGAGAACCCTTGGGTGAAATTGAGGGTTGAAAGGGCGGAATCGGAAGATGGCTGGCTGCTAAGGCTCAAGATCCATCATGCCCTGTATGACGGAGTCAGTCTACCGGCCATTATGCAGAAGCTATCAAGAAGTATCCAGAAGCCAGGCGTCTCCGGAGACGACGAAGGTCTCTCGGCGTGGTCTAATTTTGCCATAACCCAGACCTTGCAAGCCACCAAAGACTCAAGGAGGCAGTTCTGGACCGAATACCTTCACGATTGCAAGTCGATACGCACCTCAGATGCTTCAACATACTCTTTTGAGAGAACCTCTGTTGTGCGACGGTCAGCTCTGCTTGATGTGTCCCAGCTTCGACAACGTGCCGCGCAGGCGGGTGTCAGTGTTCAATCCCTGTTCCTCGCCGCCTATGCTCGAACTCTGGCGTCACGCCAGACAGAAGTACAAGACAACCAGCTCATCATGTTTGGCGTGTACCTTGCCAACCGCGACGATGAGAATTCTGCGCTTGAGATCTTCCCACAATTGAACCTCTTGCCCCTCAAGGTAGCAGTCAATTCCAGTGACTCGATCGTCCAACTAGCTGCCAAGGTACAAAACAGCATAATCGAAATCACATCCCAAGGCCGCTCCCAAGTCGGTTTGTGGGAGATTGAAGCATGGACCGGCGTCAAGGTGGGTTCGTTCGTCAACTTCCTGTCGCTCCCTACACCCGCAGATGACCCTGCCTCTGCCACTACCATTACCATTACCATTACTCCAGTCGAGGAAATGGCCCAAACTGCCTCTACGGCTGAGGTCGAGGACAGATTCGATCTCCAGATGGGCAACGTATCTGTCCGGGATGCCTTCCCTGTAAGTTTACCCCCTCACCCATACCCAAAAGAAAAACCGACAACTAACACTAGCTTTAATCCAGGCGGCAATAGACATCGAGGCAGCCATCCGCGGCGAGACATTAGACGTGGGTGCCTTTGGCGCAAAGAGCGTCCTGGCAGACGAGCCGACCGCTGAGGCTCTCCTGGACGAGATTCTCACCTTTCTACAGCAGGAATAGACACTGCACGAACACTCATGAATTATGACTTGTGTTTTTTCTCTTCGTTCTTTGTTTTCTTTTTATTTCTGATTGTTTCATCTTCGTTGTTGCCCTGTTTCTCTCTATATCAGAAGAAAAGGTGATTTTGTCGCAGATAAATATTATATACAGCACAGCAAATATATCATTTTCTCTCCCTCACCCACCCCCAAGAAACTAACACTCAATTCTCTGAACCTCCCGTTATAAAGACATGTAAAATCATGTGCAAGAAAAGGGTTTAAGATATAATGAGAAGGAGTGAAATGAAGAAGGAACAAGACCCAAGTTGAATTGTATCAAGGTTTGAGAAACCGATGCTTCCTTCAACTTGATGCGATGCAAGTGTACGTTTGAAAAAACAAATGATATCTTGAATAATAGAAAAATGTGTGAACCAACAGCCGACCCTTGTAAACATAAAACCCTTGTAAACGTAGACGCCCATGCCAACTCCCCCTTTTTTTAAGAAACAGCCATGAATATTCCCAAATGCAAACCCAACCCGATTTATAAACCCGGCATGGGGCGGTCGGGGAAGAGAATGTCGTTTGACAACTCCACGATCTCCGCCTCGCCCCTGGGGACGCCTTTATCCCCATTCACCTGGGTCCCGTCCCGCGACGAGGCGTCCCACGGCGCGAGCCCCATGGCCTGTAGCCCTGCCGCGCCACCGACCTCCTCGATGTCCTTCTCGCCGGGTTTTGTGGCCGGGTCCTCGATGTTGAACCCACGGCCGCTCGAGTCGAAGTCCGGTCCCGGGTGGCCGCGCTGGAACGCCTTGCGCTGGCGGGCGAGGTAGAGGGCGTTGGTCTGGGTGAGGGGCGCGGCGGGCACGTAGACGAGCATGCGGACGTCGTCGGGGCCGTGGACGGGCGTGCGGAGGCCGTGGTTGGCGTGGCTGGAGATGTGGTACGCCAGGTCCGGGTGCCAGAAGATGTAGTCGCCCGGCTGGAGGGTGGGGAGGGTGATCATGCTGCTGCGGAGGTAGAGATGAGGGTGCCAGCGCTCGGTGATGCGCTGGGCGTGGCCAGGGACGGCACCGTGGATGATGGTGTCTGGGCTGCGGTCGAGCTTCCAGTTGGAAGGGTCGAGGTAGGCGTCCCAGTCGGGTCCTGTGCGGACCTCGGGCATGGGGGTCTTGGCGGAGAAGAAGGGTCGGAGGAGGAAGTAGGCGGTGGCGAGCTTGGGGGAGGGGAGCAGGCGGATCATGCCCGGCTCAATGGTGGAGAGGGCGACGACGGCCTGGAACATGCGGAAGATTGTACAGGCGCCGTACCCGTTGTAGAGGTCGATGGTGGAGGACACGCGACTGGCGCACTCCCAGGGATCGTACGATTCCCACTCGCCTCGGAAGACCCGACTGTACGTGCCAGTCCGGCCATACCCGTCGGGCTCCCATCGTTCCAGAGAGCCATTGTCGACCTGTGCGATGATACCAGCCGAGGACTGGAGCGCAATGACCCAATCGTCTGCCGACTGGGGCGCCTGCTCCATCGACGTCGCAAGGGGGATGTCGAGCGTCTGCTTCTCCGGTTCGCCATTCCGGTTGCTGTCGCGCAACAGGATCTGCTCGCCAGCCGTCCCGTGTATGCGCAGCCGATCAGCGTATGCGATGGGCAGCCTGGTGACGAGGTTCACATTCGGACTCGTCTCCCACAGGCCCATCATGAAGCGCTGGGCGCTCAGGACGGCCGGGTGAGCACGTGCGCGGATCTGGGCGGGGGTCCAGAAGAAGTCGAAGCAGGTGGGATCCTGCTCGACGGGCTTGAGGTCATGCTTGCCGCTGCGGTTTTCGAGGTAGCGCAGCGTGCTGTTGACCATGTCGTCGGCGTCGGGCTTCGGGACGGCGCGCCTGACGACGCCAACGCCATAGCGGCGCAGATCGTGGCCGAAGCGGGTCGTCTGCGCCGGGTTGTGAATGTCGGAGAACTCGATGGACGGGATGAGGTGGGCGCCGAGACCTTCGATGTGCTCGACCTCGGCGCGCAGGGCGTAGATCAGGCGCGCCCACGAGGCCTCGATGGCGGCTTCGTGGCCGGCTATCAGATGCTGCTTTATGCGGGCGAATCGGGTGGGCAGGGGCACGGGGTCGGGTCCCCAGAAAGTCAGGACGGGGTCGTCGTCGAGGGCCATGGCGGCGCCGGCGGCTGCGGTGCTGCCCAGGCTCTGGCTGTGGCCGTGGAGGCTCGGCTTGGAGGAGCTGGCGCTGGACGGCAGGTCCTGGTAGTCGTACTGAGGGATGGAGGTGGCGGACACGGTGGAGGAGACGACGGGCCGGGAGCTGGCCTCGGAGTAGGACGAGGCAGCCAGCGACGAGGACGACGAGGCGGAGCGGGAGGTGTAGTCGGGGCGGTTGGCGGGGGAGTCGGTGCCGGGGGAGGCGAGTTGAGGGGGCAGCGAGGTGGACGACGCCCCCAGAGAGGACGAGGAGTTGTCGAGGGCGAGCGAGGGCGAGCTGGTGGAGGTGCTGGTGGATGCGGAGGAGATGCAGGGAAATGAGGCGGGGTCGAGGACAGCCGCGGGAGCGAGTTCTGGGGTTGCGGCGGCCAGAGCAGCGGTCGAGCTAGTGGTGTCGTCCCCCGTAGCCACGTCCATGCCCCCCATCATGGTGTCGCCGTTAGCGCTGTCTGCAGCGGTCGTAGTGGTGCCACCACCACGGCTGGAGCCGCTGTCGAGGGCCGTCGTTTTCCTGCCCGCTGATGCTGCTGGCACGCGCTGCCCGTGGCGGTTCTTGGTGATGCGACCCCCCTGGGTCAGCCGCCCTCCCGCCCCCTTCAGAATGTGCGATGATGATGACGATGGTGATTGCGACTGCGACTGCGACTGCGACGCCGCCCTGCCCTCGGGTGTCGCCATGTCGCCGCCGCTGCTGCTGCTGCTGCTCGCGTCGCTGTTGTTGCGCCCGCCGCTGATCCTCTGGTTCACCCGTTCCAGCAGCCTGTGCGAGTACCGTCGCCCTTCCTCCTCCTTGCTCCTGTACCCGTGCGCCGACTTGGGGCGCTGCTCTGGCGTCGGCGGCGCAATCACGGGAGGCGTCGAAGTTGATCGGAAGCGTGGAGATGTCGACAACAGGCCGTCCAGCCCGTTCGTCATGCCCCGGACGCGGTCCAGCAGCGTTGGCGATGCCGTGGCCCTGGTTGCTGCCTCGCTCGAGAGCTCCCGCGTCAATTCATCCTCGAAGCCGCCGTCCCCGTCGCCTGGTGATGATGATGATGATAATACCGCCATGAGTCTGGAGAGGTGAACATGAACGATGGGAGGTTATGGATGGTTGAACCTGCTCCCTATTGGCTGGCGGGGGTTGCTTCAACCCAGTGTTAAGACCTGTAGGGAATGTTGGGCGAAATAAAGGAAGTAAGTGTTTGCCGGCTCAATTGCCCGAACCATGGGTACGGTTTATACCAGATGCCTTTAGAAGCTTCCCTCTAAAATAATGGACAGATATTAATGGCAGCCTGTATGAGTGGCGACCAGTCTTTGTAGTCGAGAAAAGGTAATGCTGCCCACAAAGGAGAGAGGAGAAAAGTAGAAAATAAAATGGCACGGCACGTAACATACACGTGTGGTCACTTGGGATGAATGACAAATAAGAGCAGCAAGTGTCCGTATTCTTAAACCTCAGAGAACATGCAGCAAGAGGAAGGAAGTGCCGAAAGAAAAGAACCGTGTGCAGGCTTCTTAACAGGGTTCGGCTCAGTCTGGCGGTCCCATCTCATGATCCGTCGGGAGAAACAACAATGAAACAGAGATAAGGAAGAGGGAAAAATCAGAGATGGCAAAAAACAGAAAGCAGTAGTGCTGAGGGCTGATCAAAGTGAGCACAGATGCCCTTCCGGGACCACATTCAAACCGTGGAAAACGCTACCATACAGCCATATTTTTACTGCTCCCCACCGCCCCGGGCGGCCCGATCTGTGCTCTGGACCGAAGTCTGGGAAAACCGTGAGCAAAAGCACTGGCCAAAGCACGCAAGACCCTACTCTCTTGAAGCTTCTCCGCGAGGCCTTCCCTTGTTTGGGGGAGAGGCAAAGGCGCTGATAAGAGTTCGGCCCGGGCAGTGGGGGCCTTCATAAGACAGGTTCAGCGGACCGTCTCGGCAAAACATAGGGGGAGCGTCGACAGAATCGGGAGGAGGGAAGAATGGCCCATGGTTCCGTCACTATTGGCTCCACCTGGGCAGCGTACAGGGGTGGTCCTCTCTCTGGGAATGTGAGTGATGATGCTGTCTAGCAAGTAGGTGGATGGTAAAATACGAGTGGCCAGAAGACGAGCAGAGGCGCGCGGCCGAGGCACCAGAGAGCGTCATGTGGATCTGAGACTCAGCCCTCGCTCATCCCTGCCGGCCAAGGCACAGGAACGACGCTTTGGACATTCCGAAGATCAAACGAGGACAAGCAGCCGCGAGGATGTGCGCGAGCATCAGGTGCAGGCCACGGCGTGGGTGGTGAAGGCGCCGGCGAGCCAAGACGGCCAGGGGTCGAGAGGTTCCACGGGCCTCAACTCCGTCTCTTGTGGTGCTTTGGGTCCACTCCCTCCGCCCCGAAGTGCCGGCGCTAATCTCCCAACTGGAGTAATCGCTTGAGGTTCGGCCAGACACTCTCCACGGCCAGAAGTAAACGTGCTCGCATGACACCGCGCCACGGGCCATCCAGCCCAGTCTTCCAGGCGCCAGAGCCGTCGTCTCCTAGCCCTAGGAGCCGCGTCCCTTCTCTTGCGCCTGGCTCGGCAGTGGCAGTTTCGACTCGTCGGCAACTGCTTCCTAGGAAATGATGTTGTGCGCAAATCTGCGCGTCCGGCCCATCTCGTTGGTTGTCGGCTTGCCCTAGTGGGTTTTATGAAAATCCCTTGGCAAGATCAATGAGCTGAGGTGCAACCTCGACTGATTTTCTTCTTCCTCTTGTGCCACCTATTCATCCGACCAGTCATCACGCCGCGCGTTAGGATCTCTGCCACCTCGCCCGGGTTAGTAGGCATGCAGCCAGTCGATCATAAGCGAGGGATTCGATTGGAAAGGCAACTGCTACTTTCGATTGAGGTTGCGGGATCAGACGCTCCTTTTGAAGGTGGGGAGGTGCTCACCCATTAGGTTGGTTGCTCTGCCTTGGTCAGACGTGGGAGCAGACCAGTGTGCCATAGGGTAGGTCAAACTCGAAATTACCACATGGCAGAATTTAAAAGGTAAGCACAGAATCTCAGGTCAATAATCGCAAAGCACGCGGTTGGAGCAGAATGCCTCCATTTGGTATCCAAAATAAGGTTTCATATTCAAAATTGGTTCGCTTCAAGTCTTCTTTCCCCACGGAAAGCATGGGGAGTCTCCGGTTGAATCAATAAAAAAAGGTGATGTAGTCCCATAACATCGTTAGCTCATACGCCTAGCATTTTTGTCGTCTCAATGAATTGGCCAAACAAAGGAAATTATGCAAAATTCAACAACAGTATACACGTCCTTCAAGTCGCATCAGTGGAATGGCGATGACTTTTACAGTCTGGGCTTGTTGTTGTCGGGCTTCCAGCCCTCCTCCATGGCGATCAGCTCAGCAGCACGTTCACCGATAGCAAGAACAGTCACCATAGGGTTGATGGAAGGCATGTCAGGGAAGACACCGGCGTCAGCAATGCGCAGCTTGCCAATGCCACGGACCTTGAGCTCGTGGTCCACAACAGCGTAGCCGTCGCGCTTTAGGTCACCCATCTTGGTGGTACCGGCAGGGTGGTAGACGGTGTGAGCGACGCGGCGGGCGTACTCGCTGATGTCCTCGTCGGACTGCACGCCGAGACCGGGGGCGACCTCCTTCTTGAGCCAGTCCTTGAAGGGAGCCTGCTCGGCGATCTTGCGGGCAGCCTTGATACCGGCGACAAAGGTGGCGGCGTCGTAACCCTCGGGGTCGGTGAAGTAGCGGAAGTCAAGAGCGGGCTTCACGTTGGGGTCAGAAGAGGTAAGGTAGATGCGGCCACGAGAGCGAGGTCGAGGAATGTTGGGAGTCATGCAGAAGGCATAGCGGTCGGCGACCTCGGGGTAGCCCAGACGGCCCGTGTTGAGGGTGAAGGGAATCTGGTAGCAGTGCATCATGATGTCAGCAGCATCGCCGTCGTTGCCAGCGGCGTTGAAGGCCTCGCGGCGGAGGAAGACACCTCCGTCAGAGTCCATGGTAGTCTGGTTCTCCGGCACGGGCTTGTTGAGCTCCCACATGATGATGGTCTCGGGGTGGTCGAGAAGGTTCTCGCCGACACCAGGCACATCCTTGACGACCTTGATGCCGAGAGACTCGAGCTGGTCGCGGGGACCGATTCCGGAGTGGAGAAGCAGGCGGGGAGTATCAACGGCGCCGGCGCTCAGGATGACCTCCTTGCGGGCCTTGAGGGTGAGCTTCTGGCCGGACTTGAGGGTGACGTCGATTCCGGAGGCAACGTCGTTTTGGACGTGGAGCTTGGAGACCCAGGCCTCGGTAAGGACAGTCAGGTTCGGGCGGCGCTCCTCGCCCTTGAGGATTGGGTGGATGTAGGCAACGGAAGCACTGCTGCGCTGGCCGTTATCGGGGTTGTAGGAGACGGAGAAGAAGCCGACACCTTGGTTCAGCTGGCCGGTCTCACGGATCTCAGCATTGAAGTCGGGGATGACGGGGATGCCCAGTGCCTCGGAAGCAGACAGGACCCAGTCCTTGCAGAGCTGGTTGCGGTGGCGGGCGTGGACGGGCTGAATGGTGTTGCGGAGGTTGTCAACATGGCGGACAATGTTCTCAAAGTTCCAGCCCTTGGCGCCCTTGGAGACCCAACGGTCCATGTCATGGCGGAAAGGACGGAAGGAGATGAGGGTGTTGTGGGAGGAGCAGCCACCAAGGACCTTGGCGCGCGAGTGACGGATGTGGCTATTGCCATTGTACTGCTCAGTGGTGCCGTAGTCGTAGTCCAGCTCACCACCGAGCAGTGACAGCCACTGGCGGAGGTCGAGGACGTTGCTGAGGTCGAGGTCGGATGGGCCACCCTCGATGATGAGGATCTTGCGCTCGGGGAGGTAGCTGGAGAGTCGCGAAGCAAGGACGCAACCAGCAGTGCCGCCACCAACGACGATGTAGTCGTAGGCCTCGGCGGCCGAAGCAGGGAGAGTCTGAGTCGCAGCCATTGTCACGATGAGACTTCAAGGTTGTTGATGATGTTGGGCAAGACAAGCACAAGGGAAGAGATGAGGTGGGGATAGGGATGAGGAGGAAGATGAGTGAGGTGATGAGGAGGGATGGGAAGCAATCACCAAAGGGGAATGGGAGCAAGAGCTATACAAATAGGAACGACGACGAGATAACGACTCTCTTTGGGATCGCTCAACTAGGAAGGTCGGCAGCAATTTCTGGTGTACAGGTCACACGAGACAAGGCGAGGATGCAGAAGAGAGAAGAGACGGGGTTAATGTACATGAAGTTGTCGAGGATGCAAGCTCGGACGGCCCTTGCCGACAAATAGGATGGCACACTGACCAAGTGGAGCTGATAAGAATGCGTCCAAAAAACTTGAACGGATAAGATTTGGCGGTGCATTCGTGGGTTTTGGTGTGAATAAACGGTTGCGTAGGGCGGCTGAGGCGATGCCGGGGCCGTGATCCAGCGGCGGAGCAGACGAAATGATGCTGTCCGAGGATGGGGCCCAAGGGAAGGGCCAGATAGAAGAAAAAAAGCGAGCTTCGTCATTGGTTGTCACCGTGTCATTCCCCCATCCATTCCGATGTCAATGGCTGGTGTTTTGGGTCCCTGACTCTTGTGCCGGCCCCATGCTGTGGAGACGGCGCAAGAGACGACCGGCCCATGGTGGACTGGCACTGTGTAGCTTATGCGAATCGGCTCAGCCTAGCGTTTTCCTAGTGAAAGCTCTGACAATGGGCGGCCCGGTCGGTCGAGGTTTGGCTTGGGGAGGGATGGTTGAGGCGGAAGAGCCTTGCAGACGGCGACCCTCTTCTGCGCCCGTTCCCACCCAACAAGCAGCCCCAGCAGTGGGGTTGCCCATTGACGATGGTGGGGTTTTGAGGGGTCCAGCAACCGAATCCCAGGGATTGCCAAGGGGCAACGCGTGCTGAGGATCGATGTGCGGTTGACTGATCTCTGCGAAATCTGGAAAATCTGGATGAGCCCTGGCCGTTTCCGCGAACTGCGATCTGGAGCGCACTGTGTAGCTAGATTTGCGGGACCCGGCGACGCCTGCACCAATGGGAGCACGGCATTGGTGGCCTTTGCCTCGCACTTGCCAAGGCGAATTGAATGGCAATGGCAGCAGCTTCTGTGTGCTTTCTTCTCCCAGGGAGGCTCCTTATTGAGGGAGGTGTCCCCTCCCCGCATGCATCTGCAATTCCTCTTTCTTCTCGGCCCATGACCCCCATTCTAATGTATGGACTTCCGTCTGTTGGTGCTTACCGACCTGAGACGCTGGAGGGGAGGAAAAAGCAAGCATTGGGCGAGCAGGCAGCCCGGACTAGTCGTTAATGCACACCGATGTGCTGCCTCTGGGTGGTGGCGGCGGGCTAAACCGCAAACGGGTATTAGAGGGCAATACAGTGCGAGCTGTCTCGCACGGCGTCCCATTTTTCCCGCCAGCGGAGGAGCCCCTGCTGGCTGCTCCTGCCCGGCGCCCGCAAATGACGTATGTACACCACCACACGAATGAGTCTCGGCAGGCGCTACGCCCGGATTGTAGCTTCTTGAGCAGTCGTCTCGAGCATCAAATCATGAGCGCCGCCTCCGACCAGCCCTGGCATAAGCGCAACGTTCCAATTGGCCTCAGAAAATTCTCTCGCGGGTTGCTCTTTAGCAGCCTTTTCTGGAACAATCACGCCCGTAGCTTCATGCCGCTCTGCTGCTACCCCACCACTTATCGCAGCTCTCCACGTCCCTGCGTTAGACCAAGCGACACAGCTTGTCAATTCATCCATCCTTTTATTCTGGTGACCGGGCAGTCCATCGGATTCCGTGACATTGCCATTGAGCACCGGCGCCATTCTGTTCTCTCTTTCCTCTCGCAAGAACCTCATCTTCTCATCTCTCCCCCTGGCTTCCCCTCTCAAACAGCGTAGCTACGCCTTGCTGTCTCGGACGAGACGCTTCTTCGCCACAATGACTTTCACCCCCGAGATTCACACCTTTCACTCAGGAAAAGCTCAACCTGAGGGCTCCTCATCCTCGACGTTCGTCTCTCTAGACCCCAGCACCTCGAAGCCTCTCGCGACCATCTACACAACCACTCCGGCGCAGCTCGATGCGGCCGTGGCCTCGGCTCGGGCTGCATTCCCCGTCTGGTCCCAGACCCCGGCTACCAAACGATCTGCCATTCTCCTCAAGGCCGCTTCTATCCTTCGCGAGCGAAATGATGCCCTGGCGCTGACCGAGACCCTCGACACCGGCAAGGCTTGGAGCGAGACGTCGACTGTTGATGTTGTCACAGGCGTCGATGTGTTAGAGTACTATGCTCATATGATTGCTGGCGGCAGCCCAGGAGAGAATACTCGCCTAAGGCCCGATGCTTTTGTCCTCACCAGCCACGAACCGCTTGGTGTCTGCGCTGGTATCGGTGCCTGGAACTACCCCATCCAGATTGCCCTTT